GAAGATGGGCACAGGATATAAGTGACTCCTTGAATATGAAAGTACATAAGGCGGGAGAACTGGCGAGAGACCGAGTTTATTTTAGGCAGACCGTGATGAGAGCGACGTCCTGCAAAGGACCTGCTACATGATGATGCTGGAATACGGACAATGAGAAAACGAAGAACAATATATAGGCAACAACTTGTCAGAGGCTGTCCAGATTGAAGTATCTGATGCAGATGAACGCAGACTTGGCACACAGAAACTTGGCCTGCTCCACGCCGGTAGACTTCTATCTGATGACAGACTCTGATACACACAAGTGGCTGAGATCTGGGCATGGTCTCTGTCTCGACAGCTGCTGGCTCTGTAGATAAACGTGCATACATGGTCGGCCCCGGCATTTCTCCTTGTGGAGGGTGCATGAACCAAGATGTCTGACACATGTTTGAAATTGAGGAGAGTAGTAAATGCGAGGATTGCTTCAGAAAATTCGTTATTATTATTAGTAGTAGTAGTAGTATTAGTAGTAGCAGTAGCAGCAGCAACAGCAGCAGTAGCAGTAGTAGTAGCAGTAGTACCATTATCCTTACTTCTATGAAACTTGTGAATTATAAAGCCTCCGTAGAAATATATTGCTCCTATTTGCAAAATCTGAAGACAAGCACTGGGCAGATGAGGTCAAGCTGCTTATCGTGGCTTGGTCACCATGTGAGGCCCTGGAGAAGATGATATAGTCCAAGAAAAAATAAGTAGTCCTGGAAAAATATTCATCCCACAAACATATAAGCAGGTTCAGACACAAACTTCAACTGAGCTCCAGATAATGTGTGACCATAGGAGACAGACAACAGACATAATGGAAAACTACAGGACTGGTCTTCTAATTGATTGACACAATGATGATCAGCCATCAGCCTGGATAAAAAAGGGGCAATCGTGCAGCGTCTCTGGGAAGTGTTCCATGAATGCTTGGGGATGTAAGTGTTTAACTCAGTATTAGGAGATGTAAGTGTTTAACTCAGTATTAGGAGATGTAAGTGTGTAACTCAATATCTGGCTATGTAAGTGTGTAACTCAGTATTTCTCTGGTGGCTTGAAAGACCTGTATAAAAGCGTAAAACGAGTATAAAGTATCAGAACATAACTGGTGATGGTGAGAGCGTGGTGGATACAACAGAACATAACTGGTAATGGTGAGATCGTGGTGGATACAACAGAACATAACTGGTGATGGTGAGAGCGTGGTGGATACAACAGAACATAACTGGTGATGGTGAGATCGTGGTGGATACAACAGAACATAACTGGTAATGGTGAGATCGTGGTGGATACAACAGAACATAACTGGTGATAGTGAAAGCGTGGTGGATACAACAGAACATAACTGGTGATGGTGAGATCGTGGTGGAAACAACAGAACATAACTGGTGATGGTGAGATCGTGGTGGATACAACTGAATATAACTGGTGATGGTGAGATCGTGGTGGATACAACAGAACATAACTGGTGACGGTGAGATCGTGGTGGAAACAACAGAACATAACTGGTGATGGTGAAAGCGTGGTGGATACAACAGAACACAAACTGAGGGTACACTCACTGGGAGGGTATAGTCGTGGCATTTCAAATGAGAGACCCACTGGAATGAACGAGGGCAGATATATAAGAAACGGAGAGTAGTACTACTAGTGGAGTAGAGATGTAGGAGTAGTTGTCGTAGTAGAAGAATCAACTTGGTCCCTAGTTACATCAAGACAACAGAACCAGAGGTGAGGGCCAAGGTCAGGTATTCATAGTTTTGTCAGCTGTTCTCCTTGACTGGACTGCTTGTCTGTGACTTTATTATCTAGAGATGGCCGAGATCTGACCAAGAGCTGACCAAGAGCTGACCAAGAGCTGACCAAGAGCGCTAGTTGATTCCTAGCTGGTACTGTCTGCGCCAGAGATCTGTATTCCCGGCGCCTTCAGTTGACAGTTTGACAGGTTGACAGAACTGTTTTCTGTTTTAGCCTGTACGTAGATCAGTTCTGTATTCTTTCTTTCTCTTCCAGTCTGTTGAGTCAGGTAGACAGACCATGAGAAGTCTTCCCTAGAATCCCCTAGCCAAAATATCCGACTTTGGAAAGCGATGAATGCATCAGGCCTTGTGAGAAAATCATTGAATATAATATCTTTATTTTAACTTCTCATTCATTCATTCAGTAGCATGTCCCTCGCGGAACCTCGCTGCCATAACAACCCTCCGGAAAACCTTCCTATCCTGAGCAAGATGTCCTGCGTCAGAGACACCCATCTGGAGATCAGTTCTGCCCACACCTCCATCCTGCACCCATCTTCTCCTTGGCCTTCCTCTTCCTCTCTTCCCAGGCATATACCCCTCCATTATTGTTCTCTCTAGACTTCTATGACGTTTCAAGTGACCAAAATATTTCAATTTTCTTTGTTTTATTGTCTTTACTAGCCAACCCTCTTCAATATTCAGCTCTTGAAGTATGGATGCATTTGTTCTTTTCTTTACCCAAGATATTCTTAGAACCTGTCTGTAACATTTATATTCAAATGCATTTATACGCTGTCCGTCTGTTTAGTAAGTGTCCAGGTCTCACAGGCGTATGTTGCAACGGGAAAGATGCATGCTCTTAAAAATCTGACCTTTGTAATTCTATCTGTACAATTCCATAATTTATTCAGTTGTTTTAGTCTTTGAAGAGCAATTGATAGTCGCCGTTTAATTTCTTTCATTGTGTCACCATTGTTGGTAACCAGTGACCCAAGATATTCGAAATTTTCAATCTTTCCTCATTAACATATATTTCCTTCTCCATGGCTTCTAGAGGAAGAAAATAAAAATACAGAAAATTCACATAAAGCGAGCCAACGAGCCAGATAGGCTGACATCATCATCATCATCATCATCAGGTGCCTTGCCGACTGGTGTGGGCGATCATGCCTTTCCATAATCCACAATCTCCTGCAGTATGTTTCAGTTCGTTTGCCAACACACCTCCATACCATGCAAGAAGACTGTCAAGAATCTTCTCTCGTTGTCTTCATCTATCCCTCCTTCCACAGATCTTTCCAGTGGTCACAACATGTTCTATTTTCCCTCTTCTCATCACATGGCCGAAAAATGATGACTATCTCCTTCTGATGTCGGCTGTAATAAGTTGTCTTCGGGCTCCCGCCTCTTTCAAAACCTCTTGGTTGCTCTTTTTTGGCTGTCCAAGGTGACATAGGGTGACTATATACTGCTGGACTGTGTGCTTAATTCTGTCTGTCTGTTTTTCTGTCTGTCTATCTGTGATGACCGCAAGTCCTGTTTTCGCCTGAACAGTATCGGTTTTGGTAGCCGCATACCACCCAGTGATTCAGTTGTCCCAATTTTGACGAAACGATTGGGTCTCCCTATACAACTAAAACAGGACTTAATATCATCACAGACAGACACAGACAAACAGACAACAGACATACATACAGACAGACAGACACAGACAAACAGACAACAGACAGACAGAATATAGCACACAGTCCAGCCGTATGTATATCATGTTAATTAGGCTTTATCTACCAGCAGATACCTTGCGGCTACTACAGAACTGGCATTGCTTGACCTGGTTGATGGCCGTGAGTTAGAGTCCACGCCTCGCATGAGGACCGCGTTAGCGTAGTGGATAGGGGACTCGCTTTCAAATCCCGCTGCGACTCGCTGCAGCCCACGACCGGTGTTCGAAACCGGGCGGGTCCCGGGGTTCACCCAGCCTCTAGGTAATGGGTACCAGAGTTAACACTCTGGGGTAAATGGAGGAACGTCGCTGTAGCTATGGAGTAGTGTGCGCACGGCGAAAAAGGCAGACAGTTTCTTATCAGCTGTCCGTACTGGTGGCAGAGCACTTATGGTTTATAACCGTGTGCAATGACATCACATCTCCCGAATTTACCTTTATCTTTACAGCATGTCGTTAGAACTATACACAGTTCTCTACTTATTGTTATTGCTTGTCGTTAGAACTATACACAGCTCTCTACTTATTGTTATTGCTTGTCGTTAGAACTATACACAGCTCTCTACTTATTGTTACTGCTTGTCGTTAGAACTATACACAGCTCTCTACTTATTGTTACTGCTTGTCGTTAGAACTATACACAGCTCTCTACTTATTGTTACTGCATGTCCTTAGGACTACACACAGCTCTCTTCTTCTCATTACTGCATGTCGTTAGAACTAAGAAAGAGCCTTCAATGTTTCTTGTGACATCCTAGAGTGGCTGGAGGTTTCACGTGGTCGAATATTTAGGTTCCAATTTCACATTCTCTCATTGCCAGCCAGATGTCGCTGTAACATTGTTACCTCACGTTCCCCAAGTGACAGCCATATATCCATGTAACAATGTTACTATACGTTCTGTCACTCTACTGCAACTTATCATTCCCCTCCACCCACAACTGCGCCATTTACAGCCAGATCACTTACCGCGCTGTTAACTTGAATAGAATTTCTCCCCACACAAAATACCTGCCTCGACCTGCCACGAGAAGCCACGAGAATACTGTTTTCCTGGAGTGCTCCAAAACAAGAAGATGTTGTCGCTAGAAAGACAGTTTGCTGATGTTATCCTGTTCGCCGGCAGAAGAACTTGCCTTCACACGTTTTACAGCAGCACTTAAGACGCAGTCTAGCGATCCTGGAGATATTTGTTTTGCTACAGATCAAGCCTTGTGTACTTGCCCTGAATTCCCTACATCGCATTCATATGTGGAAGGTCTACCTGGTTCAGGCTATAGATCAGACGCGAGATGCTGCGACACAAGAATGTGGCACTCGGAGATTTCTCATGTTGAGAAAGTATGTGAGGATAGGTCTGGTTGCGCTGGGAGCTAAATGCTTGCAGAGTCATCTCGTTAAGTCAAAAGAGTTAACGGCCTGACGCAAGCATTGTCCGGGATCTACAACATTGACATCTGAAGGTCAAAGAAGTCACCAAGAGACAGTAAAGTTCTGGAGGTAAATAAAGGATTCCGACAGACCAAGGCGACAAGATGTAATGGTTTGACTGGGACAGTCGCAGCTACTTTGTCCCCATGTTCCGTACAAATTGTCCAACGTTTTTCACATAACGATAGTTTCACTGGTTTAAGAGATGTCGGAAACATGTGGTCCTGAGAACAAAACACAAAACGCTAACCGACGCCGTGTTAGGATGGTGTTACGGTCACTCTAAGTCCCGTTTTCACCGAATCAGTCCAGGTTTTTTTTAAAGGTGTGCTTTGGCCATCTCGTCGTTATCTGTATTCCTTACGTCCTTCTTAGGACGTTATTTTTTGTTATTTGAAGCCCCACTCTGGCTATTGCCAGGGGCCGCAATATAGGCAGGTCATCATTATGGCCAAATGTCTGAACGCGGTTTCTGGGACCTCTCCACGGTGATCCTCATCCGCATGGT